TGAACAGTTTTTTTATGTCATCTGCACTCTCTCCTGTTTCTTCATTGACTCCAATCAGTCTTATGTTATTCTTCTTTGCATTATCTAGTAGCTGGTAGATTGATATCTCATGGTCCCTTACAATTTTGAAGCAATTTTTCTTTTCCTGGTCACTAATTGCAATCTTGTCTTCTATATCTGAAATTCTGTCCTCACATTGGTTCATTCTGCTGGATAGACTTTCAATGGAGTTTTTAATCTCCTGGAAATCTGTTTGCATCTGTTTTACGGATTCCATTTATTTTGTATGTTGGGATTCCATCATGTTCATCAGCTCCTCTCTAAATTTATCAATCATGTCTTGCACTATGAGCACAATCTCTACTGTTATCTGAGAAATTCTTTCTGATTTCATTTTTTCCAGATCCTCTTTTGTTGCCAGTTGGGGGAGTTCAGGTGGTTGAGTATCAGAGTGTTCCATCTCCTTTCCCTGTGGGGTTGCTCTAGGTAATCTGGAAGTCTGGTTTTGAGACTTATTTATGTATCTTCTTATTTTGATGGTGGGGGATTGCTATTGGCACCCATGCAGCTCACCTCCTCTGTGCTGGGAGTGGTGGAACAGTGGCCCAGAGGCCCTTACCTCTGTTCTGGGAGTGGTGGAATGGTGACAGGGAGGCCCCTTCCTCTGCACTGGGAGTGGTGGAATGGCTGAGGTTCCATTTTCTGAATTCACAGTTAAGTGGTGGAGTCAAGCAGAGGCAGTCTGACCCTGGGGCCTACACTAGTATGTAATAAGAAGTTTTCTTCAAGAATGGGGCCTAATGAGCAGCTGAGAATAAGAGGGAAAACTAAAGTCTATAGCTGATTTGGCATGCTTTTCAGGAGCCTCAAGAAGTTAAATAATTGAGATCAACTATGTTGACCTTTGAGATCCAACTAATCATAGGCCCAATGAAATTTTAAAGTTAAAAAATAGTATTACTCCAACAGAACCAAATAAACTTGATGTGTCATCCAAATTATTATTTACTTAATACTTTCAGGGAATATAAATCAAATGCAAGAACAAGTTCAACTCAACCATCTATGACTTTGAACCCAAATCAATTACCAGGAAGAACCACAAAGAAGTATAGCCACAAGAAACTTTTAATAACTCTCAATATACAATCTATTTTCACATTAAGTGTAATATAGAACTTCAGAATGGGAAAAAATTTTCCCAGCTGACCCATATCTTTCACCATGTACTGAAAACCCCTGAAATGTTACCAGAAACCTCTGTAGTAGGCTCCAGTCTCCTACTCAGTGTACCATGATGCAAGCCTGAGAAAAAAGCTAAAAGACAGAACTAAGAGAGACAGAAAGCAGGGAGCCAGGACAGTGAATGCTACTTAACCAAAAAGCACTGGTCCATCTAAGCCACTGATTTTTATTAGTAGTCAATTGGGATAAAGGTCAAGTGGATGTGAGGGCAGAACTATATTCAAGGTTGCACAGTCCTGTGGTTTCTATGGAAACTAATGTAAGCAAGACTCGTAAAGGACAAGACAAAGCATTTTCCCAATTAGGAACAAAATAGACAAAATATATAGTTGTAATTAGAACATTGTCCTTCTAGTTGAGAAAGTTTTAATTGTGGGAACAAAATTTGGGTGCAAGTTACTCTGACCTCAGCATGTAGGCTTCAGCCATACTTACTTCTATATACAAGCCAACTGAGGGGATAACTCTTTATAGCCTGTACTGCTTATAGTCTGCTTTGGGCATAATCACTATTGCAGTCCCCTGCAACCATGCATTACCCTAAAATTGAAATGGATCAAAGATCTAAATTTTTTTTAAAATAAGAACCAAGATATATATGTGAAGGTACAAATTCCCAGTGATGAATGTCATCATACTGTATGCCTAAAATGTACCAATAAACTTAATTTTAAAATAAATAAATTTTAAAACAAACACTAAATCTGCTAGAAGAGAGAATAGACAGAATGCTTGAGGACATAGGAGTACACAAAGACTTCATGAATGAAACCCAGACCACATGAGAAATACTACAAAGAATCAACAAATGGGACCTCATCTTATTAAAAAGGTTTTGCACAGCAAGAGAATCCACCATCAGAGTGAAGAGACAACCCACAGCGTGGGAAAAAGTTTTACCAGCTATTCATCAGACAAAGGACTATTATCTAGAATATATAAAGAACTCAAAAAAATCAGACCCCCTGCCCAAATTAAAGACCCAATCCAAAAATGGGCATCGGGAATGAAAAGACACTTCTCATATGAAAAGTAAAGACACCAAATAAATAAATGAGAAAATGTTCAGCATCACTGGTCATCCATGAAATGCAAATTAAAACAATGCTGAGATTCCATCTCACTCCAGAAAGAATGGCTGGTTGAAGAAACCAACCAATGACAAATGCTGGAGGGGCTGTGGGGAAGAAGGAACCCTTATCTACTGCTGGTGGGAGTGTAGACTGGTGCAACCACTGTGTAAATCAATGTGGAGATTTCTCAAAAAACTAAAACTAGACTTTCCATTTGACCCAGTTATTCCCCCTTCTTGGTATCTTCCTGAAAGAATTTAAAGCATAATACCACAGCGATACACGCACACTCATGTTCATAGCGGCACAGTTTGTAATAGACAAATCTTGGAAACAGCCCAAATGCCCATCAACTGACAAATGAATAAAGAAAATATGGATTTTTTTCTTATATGCAATGGAGTGCTACCCTGCCATAAAGAAGGATGAGCTTCCGATAGTTATAGCTAAATGGATGTACCTGGAGACCATTCTCTTAAGTGAAATAAATCAGACACACATGTTTAAATACCTCATTGTTTCTCTGGTGTGAAAAATTGAAAGTAGAAATAAGGACCAAAACATATAATAAATATTGGGAAATGGGAAGAAAATGTTCAAATGAGAAGGGGACCAGGAGTCCAAGGTCTAGGAGGGAGAGAGGGAGAGGGGAATGGAAAGTAAGAATATTAATGCTATGCCATGCACAGGTACCAAATACCCCCAATGAATGTAAACATTATATGTCATAAACATGAGCTAAGAAGAATAATAATAGCAAGAAGAATAAAAATGGGAAAAAGGGATTTAAAGATTCAGGGAGGGAAATGGGTGGGAAAGAAAAAGGGATTAAAAAGGGAACCAAGATGTAATATGTTCATGTACCTACTCCCTGAGATGATTGTAAGCTTCATGTACTGCAAATATGTACTAATAAAACAAAAATTAATTTTTTTTTTTTTGGTACTAGGGATCGAACTCGGGTTCTTGTGCTTGCAAGGCAAGCGACGGAACCACTGAGCTAAATCCCCGGCCCAAAAATTAAATTTTTAAAGATAAATATAGTGCAGCATATCATTAGAATTGGATCTTGTTATACTCTATTGTCTTCTAAAGATTTGAATTCTTCCCAGTGGTATGATATTTGAGTGAGAGGGGAATCTTCACTCTACTCAAAGGACTTTAAGGTCTCCACTAGGCTAGGAACTACATCTCTGTCACTTGGAGCTACAAGACACTGATGAAAAGAAATTTCCATTTTTTAAAAAACCCCAGAAAAACTGGCTTTATCATAGTGTGCCACCTGGATGACTAGAACATAAGGGAGCAAAGGCAGCAACTATGGCCAAATTCCATTTACTCATTTTTCTTACCATCTGTATAGAATCAGACTTTTTCATAGTTCTTACAGTCCTGAGATCTGGTCAATCCCGCAAAACAAAATAGTGATGAGCCAGAAAATGAATGAATCAACAGTTAGTGCTGACAGCCACAATACATTTCCTGCTGACCTCATAAACGGTCTTAGAATGTACTGAGGAAGCCAAGGAAAGATAGGGATTAGAAGATGAGGGAAGGGAATGCAGGGAAAGTATATGATCTCATCTTTTTCTCCAGAACTGTCATCTTTCATTTCATAAACAAAGAGCAGTGGACTCTAATAATGGAGAAAAGAGCTCCCTGACCTTCTAGTTCTATGACTTATGCTACCATTTTACTCTTCTCATAGAAATGAATGACATCAGAGTACTCAAATCAACTTAGGCTTCTATTAGTGTTGGGAAGGTAAACATGACCACTGATATTTCCATAATAAATTTAATTTTCATTCAGCTTCTTTACAATATCATCAAATCCATTCCTTAACCAAAGTCTCATTAGCATATGTTAATTATACATCCAGAAGAACAGACAATTTTTTGTTCTAAGGGTCTTAAAGTTAACATATCAGTCCTGATAGTCCTGTTAGAGGGTGGGCTAAGGGGAGTTTAACATAAGAACTCTTCTGATTGGCCCATAAATCATAAATGCAACAAAAAAAAATCACAAATGGAAACAAAATAGAGGCTTTGGTATTTCAATGATAGATTTTTTTTTAATCTATGAAAAGACTATGTAACATGAAGAGCAGTTAGAATCTTGCCCGTATTTACAGGACTTGGACACAAGTACAACTCATAGATTTGGGTTTTTCCTACCACCATGATGTTTTGAAAATTGACTGAACTGCATGCATTTTATTTTTTGTACTAGGGATCAAACTCAGGTCCTTGCGTTTGCGAGGCAGGCAGCAGAACCACTGTGCTAAATCCTCTGCCCCGCCTGCATTTTTAAAAGTTGGAGGATTTCACATTTTAAAGCGTGTGACACTCTACACTGAAAACAATTCTGGCAACACTAAGTCCACTCTCCAGCATGTCAGCAATAGGTAGAGCTGCCCCCATGAGAGCTTCATTTGCCCACTTCGCTGATTGAGTCATGATCCCAGTCCTGCAAGTATTTGAATTTGCACCCCCTGTTTCCGGGAATTCAGGAGAGAGAGAGGGGGGGGGGAGAGGGAGAGAGAGAGAGAGAGAGAGAGACAAGCCCAAAGCCTAGCTGGTGACAAAATTAAGAATTCATCACAGGTTCTTCTGTTAGTGGTGAAGCCAGGGTTAACACCTGCCTCCATTCCTTTCAGGAGGCAAGTTGCATTTGCAAACAATGTTAAAATTAGATTGTCTAGCTCTTCCACGCTTTGAGGCACAGCTAAAAGTTTTCAAACAAATAAGAAGCCAACTCAAAACTGTGTTTCCAGAGTGCCTGAGAGGCTGTCCGAGTGCGAGTTTGGAAAACGTACGAATTGCAACTACAAATGTTGAGCTGTAAGACATATTACGTCTTTGATTTCTTTAAATCAACTTAAATGCAGGTGGCACTTGCTAAACAGGCCACAGTCACCACACACATTATCACATGGTATCAACCCTCAGGGAGGATACCAAAGGCCAACCTTTCTCCCCTGAGTGCTCTCCAGACAATTGCAAAAGGTCTCTCTCCCAGAAAAAAAGTGGTCTTTTGCTGTCACCTTCTGTCCTGGTAACCGCCCCACACCACCTTGCACAATGACAAGGGTGCTACCTGGGGATTCAACCAGTGGCCTTGGGCTGTTTGGCACTCTGAGCTCATTAATTTAGCTGATTGGGCAAAAGCAGAGAGAACAGATAGAAGATATTGGAATTTATGGCCTAGTGGATGTGGGAAAGAAAAGTTAAATGAAAAGACAATTTGCAGATGGTATATGTGTGAAAAAGATGTCCAGGAAGATGTAATCAACACTGACCCTCTGGGAGGTAAGCAGGAAACCCTATGGATGAAAGACCATTGGCTCACACTCTGCTCTGCTTGAGTTTTCTGAAGCAATCAGGAGTTGTTTTCATAATTATTAAAACAGCTAAAGTGGAATATAAAGTATTAAATACAAAACATTCTTATAAAATATATGTTATATAGGAAGGCATTTCTGCATAGAAGATTATTTCAGGGTGGTAGAATTATAAGTAGTTATTTTCTTCAAAATTATATATTCTAAATTTTCTACTTTTATAATCTGAGAAAAATAATAACAATTAACAGGAAATTTTAAGATGATCTTATGGTATCTTGAATCATATTTCATCTTTTCCTTTCACTTCTAAATATTTTAACTGAAAAAAACGTAACTTTTTATTTCTCTCTTCCCCTCTGAGTTTTCATAGTCTATGCCTCCCTACTACATTTAATCACTCACAGCTAGCTATCTGTCTTGTGACAACATCTGTTGTAGTGACCAGTAAGTGACAGCATATGAAACAGAGGCATCTGGTTCTGAATGTAATGTTTATGAAGTTTTCTTTGTGCCTTAAATATTCATACTCACGTGTTCAAAAGACCTACAAGTGAAAAAATGTCCTTCTGAAGATGACTACACATAAATCAGGTAAAACTCCCAAAGAAGTTTATATTGTGACATCCCCCAGTCTGCACTGTCAGAATATCAAATGTCTTTATATTCTGAGTCAAGAGCATAGAGTGGCTGGAGGTATGGCTCAGTAATAGAACACTTGCACAGCATGTGCAGGGACAGTGCCCTTAAGATGATGTCATTAAGAACCAGAGGATGAGATCAGGCACTATGGGAATGAGGGAACCTGGGGCAGGAGACCAAGGGATATGGTTTAAATCAAGAATTTCCCCAAAGGTCTCATCCACATATAGGGAGGGATTTGGGAAGGTGATTGGAATCACGCAAATAATATAGCTGACTTGCTATTAGAAGGTGGGGATAGTCGGAAGAGGCAGATCATGTGGTGTGTGACATGAAAGAATGTATCTCCCTTCCTGGCTCATTTCTCTGCTCCCTGGCTGCCAAGATGGGGGCAGATTTTCCTCCACTATGCCTCTCTGCCATGCCATTTTCTGCCTTGGAGTCAACTGACCATGGAATGTAACTGTGAGCCAAAGTAAACCTCTCCTCCCTTAAGAGGTGGTTATGGGGTATTTTGTCCCAGCAATGAGGAAAGTGACTAAGACAGATTTTGAACCAGAAGTGAGACTGTTGCTGTTACTACCTGACCACACCATTAAGAAGCTTTTGGAACACTTTTCAGGAGTTTTGAAAGATTTGGAAATGCCAGCTAGAGAAACCCCAGAATCCTGTAAACTGAGTTTGATGGGCAATATTGGTCAGAGCTCCAACACCAGAATGCTGATCGAAATGCAGACAGTAAAGACTAGGCTCAGGATGTTTTCAGTTGGGAAGAGAAACTCCATTGGCAGCTGAATTCAAGACCACTCTGGCAAAAAAAAATTTGTCTACATTTTGTTCATGTCCTGAGACTTTGTGGAACACTGAGATTAAGGGGAGAAGATTAATTAATCTGGTCAAGGAAATTTCAAGGCAGATCGACAATCAGCCTGTGACATGGGTACTGCTTGCTCCTTTTAGTGAGATTTACACTGAGAAACAGGACAGAAAACTCCATTTCAAAGTTCTCAGTTTTTACAGAAAGGAAGTACCTGCAAAGTTTAAGCAGAGGAGAGATTGGTTGCTAAAAAGATTACCATTAAAAAGAAGCCAAGTACTTTGCATCAGGACAAGAGGAAAGACACCTAGAGGGCATCATCAAGACCCAGTCCTTAGCAGGGTCAAGGATGCAAAAGAGAAACATGTTACTTTAAGAACTCCAGGGCAGCCTTCTCCAGGAAGGCTACCTAGGGAACTGGGATTCAGTTCACAGTGCTTGGTAATCCAGACCCTCAGAGGCCTCTGCAACCATAATCCAAGGGACCTAGCTACTGATGTAGCTTATAGCAGACCTTGGTATTATCCACATGGTGCTGATTTTACAGGCATGCAGAATCCAACAGCTGTAGGGTCAGGGAGCCTTCACAGATTTCAAAAGAAGGCCTGGGAGGCCAGGCAGTGTTCCCCTGAGGGTAGTGTGTGAAGCTGTAATAGTGAAACCACAGGTGCAGCAGAGACATCAGAAGTTAGAGAAGCCAGTAATGTGGAACATCTTCTGAGCAAAGTCACAAGCAGAAGCAAAGTTACTCCAAGAAAGAGGCCAAGTAGACAAGCAGCAAAGCTGTAAGGGCAGGATACCCAAACCCTTTGGAGTTCATATCTATTGTCGCAACTTGCCCCTGTTTAGCTGGACACAAAGCTACAGTATTTAATCTTTTCCCTGCTAGATTTCAGTCTTGTTTTGGTCAGATTTCTTTCTATCCCCCAATTCTTCTATTTTAGAATAGTAATGTTTACCCTATACTTTGTCTATCAGCAGTGTTTAACTTTTTATTACACCGGATCACAGGTAAGAGTTTGCCTTGAGTCCCAGAGATTTTGGACTTGGACTTTTCACTAATGCTGAAACTGTTAAGATTTTTGTGTCTCTTAGAGATGATCTAAATGCATTTTGCATAAAGAGATGTATATGAGTCTTTTAGGGGGCAGGAGCAGAATGTTACAGCTTAAATTAAAAATGTCCCCCAAAGGCCATATGCAATCATAGGTGGAACTTTTGAAAAGGGATTGAATCATGGGAGCCATTTAGCTAATTTGCTATTAGGAACTGGAGTGTGGTCAGAAAAGGTAGGTCACTGGGGGCATGAACTGGAAGGGTATTATCTCCCTTCCTGCATGCTCTCTTCTCTCTATGATCCTGGCCACCGTAATGTGAGCAGATTTTCCTTTATTATGCCTCTCTGACATATCATCTCTGCCTTGGAACCAGCTGACCAAAGACTATAACCATGAGCCAAAATAAACCTCTTCTCCTTTAAGTTGTATGTGCTGGGTACTTTGTTCTAGTGATGAAGAAAATGAATAAATCACCAAGGTAGGACCAAAATCAGTGGATTTCCAGTGATGGCTGCCCTGATGATTTTATAAAATCCCCCACTCCAGTCCAGCAGGGACTGGACAA